GTTTGCCCGTAGGATTTGGACCAGCAACAGTTCCAAGACTAAGAATTGTCCGCAACTCAACATTGTTCATCATTTCGCAACTTTGCGTCCCAACATTCTTATCGTGTCGATTCGTCCAACAAACTTGGACAGGTGCGTTTGTGGCTGGTTAGGGGGGAGGCTCAAACCCTGAACATTGAACCCTAAATGCCATCGTCTTGGTGTTCTACTGACATGATGGATCATCTTAGGCCAAACGACGCAGACCTCTCCTTCAAACACTTGGTGGCCTTGAGGGCCTCGACCAACGAAGAGGAGGTCACGTGGAGCCAATATGCTGAAAATGGCAAGGATAAGAGTCGAATCCGCGCTGTTTTGCGGAATCAAGAGAGTAGCGGATGCTGCTGCTCTCGAACGTGCTTTGCCAAGTCCGCACAACAGTAAACGTTGTTTCGTGTGTTTTCTGGCCCAACAAGTTCAAGGGTTGTGTGTTTCCAGACTCAAAATGCAGCTCAGGTGCTGGAAATCCATTACAGTCAGGGACCTGCAAGATATTTGCAACTTCTTCTGGTCGCTAGCCAAGCCAGCCCAAGACGCACTGCTTTGGTCAATGCAGTGCCGGGAAGGGAAGAGTCGCCTTGACGGCGAAGGGGACTCAAGTTCAGAACAGCAACAATACCAAGTACACTGGTCATTTGCAGGAACTGCTGCTTCAAATCTTAGATGGTCTGTTTAAAACCCGCCACTTCTCCCCCCATCAAAAAAGCACCTTGGAGGAAAGCGAGTGTGCCGCCGTGCTTTTGAGCGACTTCTCGCTGTTGGGTGCAGCCGGCTGAGCCGAACCCGGAACAATTTTCAGGGGTTGGACGAACGCACCTTGAAGGGCGCAGGACCAGACTTACCAAAAAACCTTTCCTATTAACAGGGCGTTGTTCCCCGTCTAAAAAGGGCCCCCCCCACACTACCAATCAGCCAGAGGTTGATCAATTGGGTTCTGTCGCCGGTCGGCCAGCGTCCGTGCCTGCAGGAACAGCAGCGCGACCAGCCCTGGCCAGCGAGTCGGTTTCGGTCTTTATGCAGAAGATGTACTACTCCATTTCTGAAACCATGCCCACCGGGAAACATGGTTATTGAAATCTTGGACTTTTTGTCAGGTGTTTTTTTGGCTCTCAGTCCTCCCCACCAATATACAGTTAGATTAAGCTACTTAGCTTTAGGGGCTACGGGTTCCAGAGGGTTCCGCTCAGAATTCTGCCCAACAACATCGAGTTGAACTCAGAAGAAGCCAGAGCTACGTTGTTGCAGCAGTTGATGAACCAGGCGCTGGAAGGGCCTACCACCCGCTTAACGCATCGGGACCCACGTTTGCTTGCGAAGCGGGAACTGCCTCCGGGTTCGTGGTCTTCTATGTATTTGGTTTATCAAGCGCATTGCTTGGCTTGTGGGACCAGGCCCGCGAGCCGTGCCGTGTTTTACGAGGTCACTAAACGATGGCGACACTGTTTGAAGTTCAGGTCGAAATCTCAGCACAGCACATGCTTGCAATGCGACAGACTACGCGCGCAAATGCGCCACAGCAAGTCTTTCATGGAACACGCTGCCGCTGCAGACAGGCTTCTAGGCCACTTGGCCACAACGTGGCGATGCAGGCAGGTCTACTGGACCGCGCGGGAACAATCCAGGTGCAAAGAGGGCATTGTCTGCATCATCATAGATGGATACGACAAATCGAAGCCAGCAATCCCCCGTTGGACACGCGGGCAGCCGCCCAAGGGCGGCGCGTTCGAACGTGTGAATCGTCCACACATTCAGCTCAGCGCCGCTCTGGCCCACGGACACGGGTGTGTTGTGTTCCTCGCTGAAGAGCAGGTCAGCACCGGGGGCTCTTACACATGGGAGTCACTGCTCATCACCATCAACCAAGTGTGGAAATCCTGCGTGTCTGCAGGACGCAGCCTGCCAAGGGCGCAACCTGCCAGCAACGATCGCCTGTGTTTCATTCTATGAACGGGCTATTTTTCCACCTCGCCTTGCAAAACAAAGATGGGGCGATTGCGGGGTCCTGTGGGTGTCACCAAGCCCTGCAAATCAAGCCCCCGATGCATCATTAGGTTACAGTAAGGGTCACACCAACCCAGGGCAGCCCGGAACACCAGCTTTTTGAGGGTTCTCGCGCGGGTGTGCTTGTCGTTTGGCATGTGTGCGCGCAGCGACTGAGGGGGTGCGCTTGCTATTTGGCAGGCGTGTGTGCAGTGCTGACCAAGCGCTTGAAGGTGTGCTTGCCAGTTTTGGCAGGCGTGCGCAAAGCGCTTGCGCAGAGCAACTTGCTCAGAGCACTTGCGCAGAGCAACTTGCACAGAGCACTTGCGCGCAGCAGCTTGCAGAGAGCAACTTGCGCGCAGCAGCCTGGAACAATGCAGCTTGCGCAGACCGCTTTCGTGAGAAATCGCGCGGCGCAGTTCGAGAGGAAAGTAGGATGATGAGATGGAGCTCTCATGTGACCATACACACTGAGCATCGCCGCGCGCAGACACGCTCTCCGCAGCGATGTAAAAAGGTGTCTCCGCGGCTGGATGAGCACCTGTGGAAAAATGCTTTCGGGCCAATCGTCCTCTAGTTTTTAACCCACGGGTACAAAATAACCTTCGGGCACTGAAGCACGAGTGGCAACCATGTTGAGCAAGCTCTTGAAGTTGTTTTTGTTTAAATGCCTGAAATACCCACGGGTAGAAAATAACTTTCGGGCATTGAAGCACGGCATGTTGGGTAAGCTCCTGAATATTTCTGTTCAAAAAGAACTTTGGGGCGCCCTGGTTGGGCAAAAATTGGAACTCCTGAGGCTCTACGTCCAGGGAGACAACACAGTGCGTGAGCTCAAAAATGGCCTATCGGGGGTGATGATGGCTGCACTCGTCAATGGCCGCTTTTTTGACGAGTGCGGCCATCATCACCTCCCGGTAGGCCATACTCACGAAGATGTAGGCTGGGGGCAAACATCACAGTTACAGTAACTGATTGACAAGTCACAGCAGTTGAACCCTGAGATGCTCTGTTCGGGTTGCTGACCACCTACCTTGTGAATGCCGGCGACAGCTTGCAGACCCCTGCAGACTTCCAACGGCTTCTTGTTTGGAGAACACTTGTTTCCAAACGATATTTCTTCTTTGCTTCATATCACAATGAGATGTCATTAGCGTTCTAAGGCTTCTGCAAACCAAAGTCGCCCCAATCTTCGAGGAAAGGGGCGAGTTCTTCAAGGTTGTGATGATGGACAGGGTTACTTGGATGTCAGTCATCCCTGGGTCATGGTTGAAGGTGCCCTTGAAATTGCTGTCAACAGAGTCTTCGAAAGGTGCGGCCTTGGAAACAGCTGGCTCCGCCCGTGGCCACTTTGTACAACGCCTACAAACCCCGCGGTGAAGAGGAGGGCAAAATTCCTCACAGCTTTCTTTTTCGGCGCCGAGACTGCCTCCTGGATCACGTCTAGCGCAATTTGATTGTCCAGTTTGAGCCCATGTTTTTGAAATGAAACCTACAACCAGCAAACGCAATGTAACTCTATGTGCTCCTGCTCACACAGGTTTACCAGCAAATGTCCAGCGAGACGAGCGACTCCCACGAAGGTACACCGCCAGCCCTGCTGACGTTTTCTGCTTAGTGAAGCATGAGCTGTGCGACGAAGACCTCATGCAGCCGGCGCTCTTGGTGTATCCTGGTGATGAATCTGCCCAAACCCGGGCATTCTGGCAAACCAGTGTCCAGCATGAGGGCATTCGCACTGAAGTTGATAGTGAACGAGCCGAAGGCCTTCTAGACCTTTGCTCCGCCCTGGAGAAATACCCACAGTATGGGCGCGCGATCGCTTACATGCGAAGTCTGGCAGGGCAAGGCCCCCGTGCAAGGTTTGACGCGTGTCTCCTTGACTTCATAGCTGCCGGTGGGCAGGCGCCCAACGCGATCGCTGGCATTTTGCCGCAAAGACCTGCCCGCCCAGATGCTCACAGATTGAATGTCAGATTCCATAGAAGGTGACCGCACACAGTTTCCAAGCCGAGACCAAAAAAAAGAGCAGCTGCTTTGACCCAACCGTGTTACTTGTCTGGAAATCAGAACCACTGACTCTTGTTTGCCGAAGCCCCGCGCAGGTTTTCCATACGATGTCCTCTCGGCTGGCCACTACGTGCCGGGGACCGAACGCTGGGACGCGCCAAAGTACAAGGGTAAAGACACATGGAAAAGCATCACGCAGATTACCCCAACTGCTGCAGAGTTGTACTGCGACAGAGTGATCAGCGCTTTTGACGCACATGTCAACGCAGGGTCTTCTGCCAAAGCCAAGGCTTGTTGTTGATGTGACCAAACTCGTTGTTTTTTTTGGTACACGCTCTCTCTCTCTCTCTCTCACTCTAAAAACCGGTTGACCCGCCCTGCAGAAAGCGGCGCAGAACTCACTGGACGAGCATCAATCCCTCATGGACATTGTGCTTCTTTGGCAGTGGGTTGGCCCGAAGTTGGAGGTTGCTCTCGGAATGGAGTCCATGAAGAAGCTTGACACGGCCTTCATGTCAGGGTACCTTGGATGGTTGGCGGGGCCCCCGAAAACCCGTCACGTTTGGGAGGGGTGCCCCCCATGTCAAACTGTGATGGGTTTTCCGAAAAACGCGGGAAACTTGTAGTTAAAAAATGAAAACCCGTCACAATCTGTGGCATGTGCCTCCAGCCCTGGGTGTGACTGGTTGGAGCAAAACCGGACCTTTTATCATGTGATTTCCAGAAAACCCGTCGCACTCAGGGCATACCAGGGACAGGTCGATGTTTGACTTGTTTTTCGGGGGTGAGTCCCAGGTTGGCTAGTTGAAGTCCCAATTTGGCTAGTTGAAAACACTTGGCTGCACAAGATCCTGTGATTTTGGGAAAACACGTGACTCTGCTGATTTCAGGTTGGCTGGTTGAGCGGGGTTGGCTGCCAAAACAAGAATAAACATTTGGGCTAGTTTCAACTGGTTCTTCTCCCACCACGCCTCTGCCAGTCTCAGGGCTCTGCGTTGGCCATCTTCTGGAAGCCTTGCCGGGAAGAAGCAACCCCCCCCTCAAAAACAAGACACACAATTTCTGTGACACTTTCTTTCTGAGGGGTTTTGGGAAGTCTTTGTGGGACGCTTGGAACCCTCGCTGTTTCCTGCAAGTCTCATTTCAGTAGTGATTTAAACCTTTCCCGTTGAAAAGGCAACACCCTGCTTGTGGCTTGTTTCATCAAATCGTTGGATTCCCACCCCTTACAGCAACTTACTGTTTTTTGCACTGCGGTCGCAGTCCCAAACCGCCAGTTAACATCACGTGTGTGGGTTCTGATGGAAAGCTAATGCTTGCTCATCTTGACAGGCATCTGGACAGGGACCTGGATTCCATCTGCAAAGCAGCAGATCCACAGCTGGACTGGGAGAGGATTCCGTTTGTTTTGGAGGCAAGGCTCGAAATCACCAAGATAAGTTTCCTGATCTTGGCCATGGGGAAATCCTTCAAAAAGGGCGTTCAAGGAATGATGCACCAAAGGGTCAACATGTAGCAATGCCCAACCAGTCGGCGGTTTGGCTAAACCAAACGCCTGGACAAGTCTTTCTCATCGAAGGCAGGCACTCGGAAAGCACAAAGAGGATTACGTGGCAGCTGCGCAAAGCAAATCAAAGAATGCGCTGCATGCCTCTCAGCAAGCGGCCTTCCGATACTTCAGTACTCAGCTCGACACAGATCAAGCCACCTTTGAGGCTTTGCAAGTCAGGCAAGGTCGTCCAAGGTTTGCCCATTCACAACTGTGTTAAGCTTCAAGCGGCAAGCGTCTGATGATTGCTGGAACCCTGCCTGCCGCAGGTCCTGCAAGGAATCCGGCAAGAAGCGGGCCGACATCCTTCGCAAGCTTGAGGCAATGTGCTTGGGTAGCAAATGGTTCTACACACTGCTCGGTGTCAGGGAAACAATAGCTTGTTTGTCAATGGTCTGACACTGGTTTCAACTGGCTTCAACGCCGCCCAACCATACTGCGCTGGGTTGGTAAGGGAAGTGTGTCTCATCGTTATTTTTGTGAAAATCGCTAACATAGCAGGGTAGCCTGACTAAGAACTTTCTCGGTTTTTGGCCAGCCCTACCAGCTTCTTAGGAACACCGAAAGTTGAAGTTGAGCTTTTGCATTCTTGTATCCCGGGTTGGCGGCCGACCGCAAACTTGCCCGGCAAGGACCAACTACCAACCCCAACCATCAAGATTCTGGCCAGATTTGCTTTAGGGGAGCAAAGGGTAGCTGTTTTCTTGTTACCCCCAACATGTAACGAGAGAAGTGCTTGCTGATATTACGGAGGCACGGCCAACACCATGTGCTCGCCACCCACCTGTCACAAACGCTTTTAAGGGGCGAAGGAAGCGGTAACACCCTTTGCTTGGTTTCTTCCCCAATGTTTGTATCAAAGACCCTCCTAGACTGCTATTTCAAGCGAATCCCTTTGCACCTCCGACCAAGGCACCAAAAGTCTTGGAACGTGATCCATGAGTTTGTCAACGCCAACTTGAAGGTTTGGACCATCAAGCCGGACCAGAACATTCTCCCAGCATTGCTGCCATGGTTGGAAACCCAAATGGAAGGGGCAACATTTTCCCGGGTGCGCTCCGAGGAGGGCTACATTCTTTTCTGTTGCTTCCCGACCATGGGAGTTGTTCCAGCCATGAAGCTTCAGTTCGTTCACCAACTGATTACAAGCTTCATGGCTTCCCGGCCAACCAACTCGGTTGCAGTGGTCATCCATGCAAACAGAGCATCTGAAGGAAGGTCCAGGTGGGGGTTGCCTTGCCATGGTCCCCTTCCTTTTGCTAGACTGCTCAGCTAAAATCCGCATATCGGGTGTTCCTGTTAGAAACTTGTTATCTAAAACCTTTTTTCGTCCGATTAAACCCTGAAGGCAGAAGGAGGCAAAGGGTGAACCTGAGAATGAAGAGGTTCCTGAGTCCCCCAACGATGGGAATGAGTCCGAAGCTGAGGGTGAGGACGAGGGGGAGGAAGGACCCATGTCAGAGGAACAGGGCTTGTTGATGGAGTTCCGCCACAAATTTGAGAGCGCTTTGCGCCAACCCTCTCGCATGCTGCTTGTGAAAGATTTGATGGTCACCTTCGACCCGTCAACGCTTTACGGAAAACGGGAGGGTTTCCTGAAAGCTTTGATGGTGACTGCGCTTCGTACAAATTGGCAGAACTCTTGCTGCGTGATTTGTGCAAGGAATATTTTCTTCTTTTTTTAAATGGGTCCTGCAGTTGCCCGCACATCCCTCCTCCCTGCCAGAAGTTCCCAGGCAAGGGCGCCTCCAGGCGGCAATCTGTTCTGGAAGTCCTCAGCGTGGCGCAGGGGTGTAGTCAGCGGGGTGCAAATGTGCCAAAGGCAGAACATGTTCAAGGAACACACAACTTGCCCGGCAACCCTCGGCATGTACACTGCGATGACAGATGCCCAGGAGCAGAAGCAGGCCGGCTACTTCCCATTTGCTTGTCCACCTGAACCCCGCTTCTTAGAGAAAAAGCACGGAGTTTCCGGAGACTACTGCTTTTTGAGAAGTCTCCTAGAAAAAGAAGAGGACTGATCCTCCTGGATTTCATGGCGTCGCTCCTGAAAATGAACCTGATTTACACAGCCTGGCCTACGCAGCGTGACTTACGCAGCGTAGCTTGCACAGCGTGACTTGCTCAAACTGACCTACGCCGCCTGAATCACGTAGCCTGATTTTTGCAGCCTGACTTACGCAGCCTGACTTACGCAGCCTAGCGGTCTGAAATTCCCAGCCTTGAAGTAAGAGCCGACAGCAGGGGTTTTGGGTGCCATGCACACTAAAAATGCTGCGCAACAATTTTGTCAAAATCTGTCCAAACTGCGTCAAAAACCGTCAAAATCCAAAAACACAGAGTTTCCGAAGATTTGGGTTTTAGCTAAAACCCTGAATTTTGAACCTTGGCACGCAATTGCGTAGGCCAAGCGGCACGCAGCCTGTCTTGAATTTGGCCGTGCTGTAAGCTGGTTCTTGAAACAGCGGGAAACTTTGAATGCTGAGGTTTTCCTTCGGGAGTTGTGGTGTGCTTATTTGCACAGCTTTGTTGGCGAGCGTCTACTCCGCAAAAAACATCCTGAGCATTTCTGCATGTGATTAGTTGGTTTTGCTGCTTCTGTTTTTTAAATCATGTCTACTGCTTTTTTTCCATTGCAACTGCTTTTCAAGTTTTGAGGCCCAGACCCAGACCTACTGAAACTTCTACTTTTTGGATGGGCTTCACAAAACATCCGGAGCCAAATACACCCGCCTCTTGAACCCTGGGCCCTGAGGTGGCTGCTGGAACCGATCTAATCCGAAAGCTGCAAGAGGGACTGGTGAGCTCGACGCCCCTGCAACGAGTTGCGTGGATTGATGCTCATGGCTACGACGCCTACCCTGCCCTGGCAGTTGTTGAGGCCGTCTACATGGAGTTGCGTGCTGTAAGTGCGCATGTCAGGGGTTGCCTGTTGAGCGTACGTCAAAAGAAAACAGCAATTCAACAAATAGCTCATTTGCTTGCCAGGCTCCTGCCAACGCAACGCCTAAGCCCTTCTGCGCGACTGTGGTTCACGGCGACGCTGGTCGCGGAGACAAGGTCTTGGAGCGCATCGTCGCTGCCACATATGAGTCTTGCAGATCCAAAAGCAAAGATGTTGACGGGTTCCCGGATTTCGCACCTCTCTTGGCAGAGCTGCAAACCACATCCCCCAACCAGTCTGGAACCCTCGAAGAGCAGAAGCCTGACACGTTCAAGGTTTCTGTGCAACAGGCAAGCGGCGCATTGGTCATCAAAGAGTGCTTTCACAAACAGTTTGGAGACCTACCACAGTTTCAATCGCTGTTGGAGCAACACAACGATGCCTACAACCCAGAAGGCTTGCGCTTGAGTGAGCCCTCAGCAGGCTCAGGCGTGAAACAAGAGGACAAGGTTCAGAAGACTGTTCTGATCACTCCGGACGATCCTCTGACCGCCCAGAAGGTGGCATCCTTGCCAAACGCGTCACTGCCTCAAGGAAGCCTGATGTGAGAAACGCATGGCTTCATGCATAATTTGACTTGCCGTGTTTCATTCAGGTCCATTCTGCCGATCACGCCACAAGTCAACTTGATGACCGATGGAGACCTCGCCTACATCCAGTCTGGCACAGAATCTTACACGCTGCACAATGGCCGCGAATTGTTTTCATTTGGAAGTGGAACCTGGTTTGATGGGAGCCAAGCAGTAGAACAAATGGAAAGCGATGCTGATTTCCTGTCTGCAAAGCTGGGGCTGGAAACGCTGGTGATAGTTGAGAAGAAACGGATCTTATCCCACTTAAGCGAGCTTCCAATTCTTGAACGTGCAGTTCCTTTGAGGGAGGCATTGTCGGTGCTGGAGGACGCTGGAGAGGCGGGGTGTTTTTTCATCAAAAACAACCGCACCCTTGTTCATGGCTCAGGTTCGAGTCGGCATCAGCCACCACACTGTGGACTTGGGGTCCGACCAAATGAAAAGTGATAAGGCCCTGTGCTTTGTGCTGGACAAAAAGCCAGAAAGCAAGGATGGTGGCGAGAACGGTGAGCCAGCCAAGAAAAAACGCAGAAAGAGCAAGGACAAGAAGGAGAAATCTACCCCAAAGAAGGCGAGACATGCAGCTTCATTGCAACTGTGCATCGCACTTTGCACCTGAGGGATTGGATTAGAAACTGTGTGACAGGTTTCCGCAACCACCTTTGGAGCGAACTTCAATCTGAAGAAGCTTGTGCAGTGCGCCGGCTTGAAAATTGCTTGGCGGGTGAGGCAGGGTGCGGGCTATCTGGTTTCGCTTGACCGCAACTCCGGCTGGGCTGCCAGGCTGGAGGCGTCTGGCAGCGCGACAAAGTTGATGCCACAGCGGCCCTGTTGTGTCCTGAGCGGCAAACTTGAGTTAGAGCCTGGGCAAGTTGTGCAAATCATGTAGCTTGGTGGCTTTTGAACTTGACCAACTTAAAGAATTGGTTTTCGAATTCCTGCATTTCGGAGTCAAACACGAAGGAAGCCACCTGAAGGTTTTGGTGCCTTGATTGCGGGGAGCATGCTGTGGTCCGCAAATTTCCCCAAAAAAAAGCGAAGTCTTAGAGTTTGAAGCCATTCGGCCCTCTCGCATCAAGGCTTTTGAAGTAGGAGTGCCTGAAATGGGCCTGGGGGTTGAGCTTGGAACCTCGGCGTTTTGACTGGGCCTAGGGCCAAGTTTTGCCACTGTCTGCAGTGGCAACGTGTGCGCGTGCGGCCTGAGACCGTGCTTCAAGATGCAAATCCCAGCGCTTCTCCTTGCCATCAGTTTTGCAACCATTGCTGCTCAACATCGGTAGAGTTGCAAACTTTGAGTCTTAGAATGTGTAACTCTATCGCAGTGGAACCTGGCTTAAAGAGGCCTGATTGTGCTCTTTGGCATCTCATTCTCGTCGCATGGCTTCTGATTCTGAGCCAGAGTTTCTCGGGGATGTCACGGGCGGGGCCCACACGGCAACGCACGCAACACCGGCCGCGCACTGAGTCGGTTTTTGGATGTTCCTGGTTCCACACCCAATCTGGCTTGTTGGTCAAAGGATGATCCATTTGAAGCGTTTTCCAAGCTTGTATCTAGTTGCTTTGTGTCACCTTAACCTTCAAGCAAGCAGGGGGGCATGTTCGTTTCGCCAAGGCTTTCGACCTGGAAGCGCTCATGAATTCCTCAACTTCAGGAACAAGACCAATCCCTCCCCAAGCATCGTCAGGGATGAAGCTTTCCTCGCCCAAGCCTAACGCTGCTGCTGCATCATCCGAAGTTGTAGCATCACCAGGCAGGGAATCAGTTTAGCGTCCATGCATACTGCAAATTTGGAATTTGGAGGACTACCGCCAACTTACCGTGCTTCAACATCATCCTCGGATGAGAAATCAAAGACCCCGGACGAGACACATGACAGCTCACCAGAAAACTCGGAGCCCAAAAAAAAAGCAAAAAAAGCAGCGGCGAAAAAGGGTTCCAAGACAAAGAAACCTCGCACAGACGACCAGGAACCTGACATGAAAAAAAGCAAGACCGGGACGATGAAGACGATGCTGACTCTGACGGACCGTTGGACTCGGACGAGGACAAGCCAAAGAAAAAGCCAGCGCGAGGTCCAGGCCCCAGTTGTTACAAACTTAAACGCTTGCGTGGCACTACCTCAGGTTCGCAAGTTGTGAAAAAGCCAGCCACAAAGCAGCCTAAGAAGGGCCAATCCGGGAAGAAGCACAACAACGATTCTCCTGAGGCTGGGCTTTGCTTGCCTTATCAGGAATGCTAGCTGGCAGTCTGAGAATTTCTTGTCTGAGCTTACCGTATCAGGAAACTCTTGCAGAACCTCAACCGGAGCTTCGTCTTAAGCCCCTGGACCCCACGGAGAATGACACCAAATTGGAACTGGCCTTGTCTTTGAAACCCACGCCAGGCCAGTGGCATCTCTATCCAGGTGAGTCACCTCAAGATGCCCCTGGCCCCGTCGGCTCTCAAAAGTATGCCGACTGGTACGACGGCATGCGGACCAAATATGGCAGAACCCCTAGCCCATTTGCTGATGAAACGCAGGACTGGACTGACGCGCAGCACTGGACCGACAGGCAGAATGATTTGCAGGATGAGGGCAATGACGCTGAAAATCAGGTGATGGGACCGGCTTTGCCACCGCACATGCAACACGACACTCAAGACCTGTTTGAGGTTGGAGAGCTTGACGCCGTGGAGGCGTTCTTCAATGCTGAGCGCGCGAAGCTTGACCCGTCCCTGTCCCCAGCCAGAGAAGGCCTGCTGCGCAACATTCCTTGGCGCGTGTGTACACATGTTGGCTTGCGCGCGCGGGTGATTGTGTGTGCGCGCGCATGTGTGCTTTGGGCATGTGCGTGCGCGCGTGCGTGTGAGTGTGCACGTGTTTGCGGTTTCCTTGTGCGTCAGCTTTACGCGTGTGTTTGCCTTTTTTGCTTGATTGACTGATTGATTGATTGATTGGTTGGTTGGTTGATTGATTGCTTGCTTGCTTGCTTGCTTGATTGACTGGTCGATTGATTGGTTCATGGATACATTGTTTGATTGGTCGGTTGGTTTCATTTGGTGTGATTTGCATCGATGCGGTTTTGATGTTGGTTTTGTTTGAAAGATTCAATTTGATTTGAACAGTTTGGTTAGAGTTTACTTGGTTTGAGTTGCGTATATTTGTTGGATTTGATGTCTGACTGACTGATTGATTGACTCATTGATTGATGAATGAATGAATGTATTGTGATGATTGGTTTGAGTGGTTGGTTGATTGGTTGGTAGGTTGATTGACT